GATATGCCCAGCGGGCATTGCGGCCCCCGGCGCGGAGGGATATCCCCGGATCGGGCCTTCCGGGGTAACGAAGCCGGTCAAGCGGCAGGAAGGTGGCCGCCCCGGCGCGGCGCTCGCGCAGGAAGTCCATGCACCGGCTGGCGATGTCGGTCGTATCGACGACAATGCCCTCGGCCAGCGGGCCGAGGACTGCCCGCAGGGCCGGCCCGTAGCGTTCTCGAGCCACGACCAGCTCCCGCAGAGGCCCATAAACGCAGCCGCCCCCGGCCGAGGTGCCCGGAGGGCCGTCGGGGCCGGATTCTCTCGGCCGGGTCGACTGAGCCGACGCCAGCCGGTAGGACGCCTGGGCGTGGGCATCTGCCGGAGGGTACATCGTCCGTAGCCGACTAATGGTCTCGGCCAGCCGGGTTCGCTGGTCTCGATCCTGCGCCTGCTCGGCCACCGCAGCCAGCTGTGTGGCCACAGTCGCAGAGGGCGAGAGAGGGCGAGAGGTAGAGAGAGAGAGAGAGAGAGAGAGGGATGGAGAGGGAAGCCACCCGGCCATCAGGCAGGCGGGCGCCGTTCGAAGGAGGGAGAGACCGCGTGCGCGGAAATATGCGTGTGTGAGAGAGAAAGAGAGAGAGAGAAAGAGAGAGAGAGAAAGAGAGAGAGAAAGAGAGAGAGAGAGAGAAAGAGAGAGAGAAAGAGAGAGAGAAAGATAGAGAGAGAGAGAAAGAGAGAAAGAGAGAGAGAAAGAGAAAGAGAAAGAAGAAGAGGGACGAAGGGAGCGGATCGAACGAAGAGGCATACCTTCTCCGCGATGACCTTGACCTCGGCTTCCAGAGCGGCCTCGGTCCGGGTGAGGTCCTCGAACTCGCGCTCGGCGGCGGTCAGCTGCTGAAGGGCCGCCTCGGCGCCGTGGGCCCGATCGCGTGCGGCGTGCGCGGCCGCGTCCGCGGCTCGGGCCACCCCCTCGGCCTCGCGTAGGCGCCCTGCAAAAGGGCGCTCCGCGCGCTCCAGTACCGCCAGGTCCGCCTCGGCGCGGGCCAGCTCGGCGGCCAGCTCCCGACAGGCGTCAGCCTGCTGGGCCTTCCTACTTGCGGAGGCCGCGCATGCCCAAGCACCAGGCCAAACAAAAGGGCCCATTGACGGCCATGTCCATCCGAGGCACAAGGTCAACATGTGCGCATGCTTGACATGCCGAAAACAGGGCACAGGGACAAGGGGGGGGGGGGGGGGGGCGGGAATCACGTACCGGCGATCATACTCGGCCCGCAGGGGGGGGGGCAGGGCGTCCACCGGGGAGGTGGTCTGCTGGGCGGCGCGTTCGAGCTCGGCCACCTGGCCATCCACAAAGCGAACCTGCTCGCGGACGGACTGCACCGCGCGCGCCTGGGCCTCGGCATCGGCCACGGCCTTGGCCAGAGCTTGGCGGAGTTCCTGGACTTGGGCCAGAGCCGCTCGACCGCGCTCGCGGCCGGCGGCCAGGTCGCGCTCCGCCCGCTGGACGGCGCCCGCGGCCTCGGCACGGCGCCGATCGAGGGCGGCCCGGCGCCGGGCCAGGTCGGCCCGCCGGCGACCGGCCTCCGAAGACCGGGCCTGTGCGGCGGCCAAGTCCTGCTCGGCCGCGCGGAGCTGCCCCCGGCGGACCTCGGCCGCGGCCTGAGCCTCGGCCACGGCCCCGGCCGCTCGGTGAATGTCGGCCGCCAAGAGGCGGACTTGAATGTGAGCCCGACGCTCGCGCATGGCCGCCTGCGAGGCCGCGCGCTTGAGGTTCTCCTCGGCCAGGCTGGCATGCATGCGCCCCCGGCGGAGACGCTTTTCCGCCTGCCCCATGGCACTCCGGGTCTGGGCATACCCGTTGGCGACCAGGCCCGCGGTGCCGGCCGCCCGCTCGATCATCTCGGTGACCGCATGCTCCGGGCCCCGACTCGGCCCGCCGGCCGGGCCCCGCGCGATCTCATGCACGCGCCCTTGGAAGACCGCTCCCCCGCGCTGGGCGAGGTCCAGCCGGAAGCGCCGCAGCAGGGCCAGATACTGCCCCGGCGGCAGGGCCTGAGACCAGGCCACCAGCGATCGGGCAGCCGGCGTGCCGGGAGTCATGTCGCCGGCTGCCGGTGGAAGGGTCCCCGCCGAGTCCATGCCGCCGCTGGACAGCAATGCGTCCCAGTCAACCTGGGTCGATCCGACGCCGAAGTGGTGGGTGATGGCCACGCCACCAGCGGGCCGCAGGCGGACCCTGGGGCATGGCGTCGCATGGTGGAGGCGGTTATGCGTGGACACACACACACACACAGATGCACATAGATGCACGCAGACGTACACAGGTGAATAAAGACGTACATGGATGAATACATACACACACACATATACACCGATGGACATAGATACACACAGATACATACAAATACACACGGAGAGAGATACACACACACACACGCATACACACACACACACACACGCATACACACACACACACACACACACACACACACACACACACACACACACACACACACACACACACACACACACACACACACACACACACAAATGCAAACAGATGCACACAAAAGTCAGCGGCTTGCTCAATAGATCGGCACTTGCAGCGAAAGATAGAAAGGAAGCCGACGCACATGCGGAAGAGGAAGTACATGCGCCGCGGCCCGGCGACCACATCGTCAGGCGAGCAGAACCCCAACGCCACATAGCCCCGGTCCGGGGCCGACTCCTGGCTCACCCCGGACAGCGGGTCGGCCAGCATGGACGGCCGGGTGACCAGCTCCGCCCCGTCGGAGCCACCACGGAGCTCCTGGCCGTCAGTACCAACCCCGAGGACAAAGCTTAGGGCATCCATCAAATTGGACTTGCCAGACCCATTGGGGCCGACAATGCATGTGTAGGCGCTGAAGGGCCCGACAAAGTGCCTCCCGCGCCAGGATTTGAAATTCGACAGCTCCAAAAACCGGACATACGGCCGGGCCGGGGCCTCCAATGAGGACATCGCAGTGGGCTCGGACAAGTCGCGCCGGGGCCCGGGCGAGACAGAGAAAGTGAACGATATGCGTAGTTCCGAAAGTGGATGGGTGGTGGAGGGGGAAAAGAGGGGGGGGGGGGGCTCAGGGGAAATTTGGAGCGCTGCCGCGGAGCGAGGGCCGGGGCGGGGCATCCTCTTTGGCGGTCGCGCGGCGGGATGTTCATCAAGTTGTCCCGGGCCGCGCTCGCTGCCCCTCCCCGGGACAGAGGCAGTGGCTCACACGGAAGCGAGGCCCCGGGGGCGGAGGGGGTGCACCGCAGAGTGCAAGAACTGATCGTGGGGAAATTTAAATAAAAACGAGCAGCTGCCATGTGATGCGAACACGCATGCCCCTTGAGCACATGGTAACAAGCGGACATTCGTTGGCAGCCCCAGAAGTCACTGCGGGATACACGGAAGAGACAACCCGAGCAGCGGGAGGGGGGAGGGGGGTCTGTTTGCGTGTGTGTGTGTGTGTGTGTGTGTGTGTGTGTGTATTGGGAGATGCCTCCCTCTTTCTCCTGGCCAGCTTGCTTTTGCCGCCTCACTTGGGGGGCACACGGATGCCGCAGCCTCTCTTGGGGATGGCGCTGAAGGAGTCATCCGTCTGCTGGAAGAAGGGGGGGGGCGGAAGAGGGGGATCCACACGGCGGGGGAGGGAGGAATGGGGCACCCTCGCACGAGTGTCCAAGGGAGAGAGGGAGAGAGACAAACAAAGATGGGTGCTGGAGGGGGGGAGGAGGAGGAGGAAGGAAAAGGGGAAGATAGCTCACATGAGGCGGGAAGGAAACCGCTCTCGGGGACAAGGACAGGGTGCACGGACTCAGGAGGGGGGGGAAGGGACGGCAGTGACAGAGGCAGGCAGCAGGAGGGAGAGGAGAGAAGGCAGTCAGGGGCCAATCGGTCCTGGCCGGGCCCCTAAGTGGCAAAGCTCTCGCCACAGCCACAGATGGCACGGGCGTTGGGGTTGGTGAAGACGAACTCCGACCGAAGGCGGTCGTCCACAAAGTCCACCTCGCTGCCGATGACGCTCATCAGGGCCTTGTTGGACACGAGGAAAGAGACACCTGGGGACACGGCCACCGGGTGGGGAAGGGGGGGGGGGGGAGGGGGGGGAGGGGGACAGGATAACAGATGAGGAACAATGGACGCCGGGCGGAGGGGGCTTCGGGAAGGCACGGGCGATTGCGAAATGCAGGCGACCGCGAGGAGACGGAGATGACAGCGAGGGGCGTACCGTCCTGCTCGACTGGCGTATCCAGGGGCTCCTTCTCATTGACGTAGTCCAGGGTAAAAGAAAGACCGGAACAACCGCGCGTCTTGACACCGAGGCGCAGGGACAGGGCGTCGGGGCGCGCCTCGCCGAGTTCGCGCAGACGGGCCACGGCGTTCGGAGTCTGCGTGGCACCATCGTGAGGGGGAAGGAAAGCCGGGGGCCGGAGAGGGGGGAGGGGGGGGGGGGGGGGGGGGGGGGGGGGGGGGGGGGGGGGGGGGGGGGGGGGGGGGGGGGGGGGGGGGGGGGGGGGGGGAGGACGTACACGCTCGCCCAGGTCCGCGGTGATGTCTCGGACGCAGGCCAGCTCCGGGAAGAGCTCGGCCATCTGGGACCGGGTGAGTGGTTGAGGGTGGCGAGTGGCCGGCGAGCCGCTGGTCGAGGCTCGGGGAGCCACGGCCGAAAGGTTCAAGTCGTCGTCGGCGAAGGCGGTCAGCTCGCGCAGGCGTCCGGTCAATTTCGGATCGGCCAAAGGCACGAGACTGGCGGTGGGAGAGATGCTGCCGGCGCCGGGGGTGGCACTGGCAGCCAGCGACTCCAGCAGCAGGAAGAGCACCTTCTCCTGGCCGGGGATGAAGACATTGCTGGTGCGCAGGACTTGGTCGGCGTAGGACAGA